TGGATTTATATCAAAATTTTCCGATGATAAAAGACATGAAAAAAGAAGATTTTTTATTTTCTTTGCCGGTGAAAAAAAAGTTACAACAAGGTTCTAACACAGCCAAGTAAAACTCGATCCCCAGCACAAGCCGAAGGTGTGCCATTGCTGGCGCTCCATGCTAAAGCCGGCCTGATATTGTACCCTACAATCGGCGGGAAAGTCCTCATGCTAAAGTTCAGTTGGAACAATGCTCCGAGAAAAGACCAACATCATAGAAGCCTTGCAGTTCAACAATGGTCTGTCAATAAGGGAGATTGACTTCTCTGCTCGTTAAGTTCAAAGTTACTAGACTGTCTAGGTGTTACTCAGAAAAAAAAAGACAGTACACGGATGGGCCGACGATTGAAGCCCAACACCCGTCGCTGGCAGGCTCTGCCCGTTTCCTAGTCTGTCCCGGGCGTTAAAGCGTGGAATTAGAGGCCTCCTCCTCCCTTTTTTTTTACTCAAAAAAAAAGGCCTCCTCCTCCCTAGTAGAAAACAAAATAAAAAGTGTTCATCGTCTAAATTGCGGGAGAGACCCAAGGAAAATTTCCCCACACCACTCTTTTGTCTTTTCTCCTCGCGATGGCCGGCGACAGATCCCCTTCACCTCCCGCCGCCTCCCCGGCGTCCTCTTGGAGTGAAGCTAAAACTCAGTGAGATTTCCTCCCCTTCACCGCGCGCCCTGCCATTGTTTAGTTTCTTTTAGTTTGTGAAAGAACTAGCTCAATCAACGTTGAGACAGTAGGCCCAAGCCTCAGGTTTAACTGCGTCCATGGAGGCTGCAGCCCCAGTCCCGAGGGACGTATCGGCTCCATGGAGTCTCTTTCTCTTTGGCGGTGAGGCGGTTTGGTACGAGTTGTTTATTTTGATGCTTTGGTTGAAGTTTATCCAGGAACTGGTTGTGGCGTGCGGTCAGCTTTGCACCCAGCCTGCCAGTGATACAACCATTAGTCATTATTTTGCAAAGCTCTTGGAACAGATTCTAACTGGCTCTGTGGGTTTATTTATTTGGTGATCTAGAGTTGTGATGTATGCTCTAAAGTCTAAACATGCTTCGTTGAATCTGTATCGTGATGTTTAAGATTGATCATTGATATTTGTTTTCATAAACCTTTCCAAGCCTCCAATTTGGTCACAGTAGAAGTTGACTAAAGCATGGATATAAGCTGTTTTACCTAGGGTGGTGATGCATGCTGAAACAGTCGATTCATAATTTCATATGATGCATACTGATTTTCAGAAAACACTCGTGTTGTTATGTTTATTTAGACCAACCCAATAGCTTTTATTGGAGCTACATATGTGATCGTCTTTTGTAGGTCATAATGCAGATTAGCTCAGCTGCTACGCATAGTGAACCCCACATCATCTGTACTTCTAGAACCTGGTTCTAGTATTAATTTATTACCCATACACAAATACTATAATCAAAGGTTCATTGTGAATCAAGCAAGGTTTATTGAACTTTCTCCTATATCCAAGGAAAGAGTGCTTAGTTTATTGGAGTAATACAAGTTCAGTTAGTTGACAATCAGTTTATTGCATTTTGCCTCTTGTATTTGGTACATGTGTAGATTACATTAGTAACCATGTTTTGCTGACCGTATTCTGGTATTTTTATCTAGGAAGCATAAACTTGGAAGATTGTATCCACTCGACTTTCAAGGTAGTATAGAATTTGCAAGAAAACAAGATGAAGAACGAGCTCAACTATTCCAAGCACGAGGATATTGGCCACTTGACTATCAAGCTAATACACGATATGCAGACAAACAAGCTGAAAAACAAACACAATCAGTTGAAGCGCGAGGGCAACATACTTATGCTTCTAAAAAGGAAGAAGCTGCTGCAAATGCGAAACGATAGATGAGCGAGGAGGCGATGGTGGCTTTCAGAAGATACATTGAGAGCAAAGATGGTGGTACGTGGCAGCATGGCGCTGAGGTGTATCAGTGGCGACCGCGACGTGTACAGCTGTTTGCGCGCAGGGAGGAGGTGACGTTGGGCGCCGTGGTGGCGTCGACGATAGCTGGGCCGACCAAGGTTGATGCATCAGTACAGTTCTGAAGATGGAGCGGTGGCAGTTGGCGGCGGCGGCCTCTGAGAGCACGCCGGACCAGTGTGTGCCCCAGACCCGGCAAGTGGCTAGGTTGGGGTCTCAGGTCTTAGATGTTAGGCTTGACTGCAATTTCTGTTTGGTATTAGGCCCAGGCTATCTGCGCCCCTTCATCAACTGGATAGGTGTAGCGACAGTTTGTTGTTTAGACGGTGGCTTTAGTCTTACTGTTGTATGACTTTGTAAGGTCTTGTGAGAATAATTAATAAAGTGGCCGTATGCATCGCCCAGATGCAGAGGCCGGGGGTCATCCTCCTTTTCTAAAAAAAAATTGAGAGCAAAGATGAACTTAAGGTTCTCCATTTCTGCTCTAAATCATTTTTATTGTTGGGACTGTGGAGAAGTATGACTAACACTTGTTTCATCTTAGGGAGTTGATTATGAATTTGACGAGCTTGTCCATCAATGTTTCCATGTGGAGCATTATTTGAAGACATTTCATCACTTCAACTTTACTGTCAAGACAAAGAAGCCTAGCTCAGCTGATTGGACATCGGCAATGTACTTCGCTCAGGTCAAATCGATATGCATGATAAAATGCTATGTCTGTTATCCTTTGGAGCAAGATCAATATGGTATGGAAAATTTTCACCTTATGACTTGTAGTGGACCTGAAAAAATTCTAACATTGTAATTTACTTTGGCAGGTGAATGTTATGCATGTAAGAACCAAGGAATGGGTGAACTGAAGCACCCATTAGAAGGGGTGTACGATATGGGCAGGGAAGATACACAATTTCCCTTGTATTATGATGAGGACAGTGACTCTGAATTCGATCCAACAACGGGAGGGAGTGAATCCTCTGATGATGATAGCCTTGTCCTTTATTCTAGTTAAGTTAACTTTGGCTCTTGATCTATTGATTCAAGTCAAATTGCTATTAGTTGATATGAGAATGCCAATGTGTAATGTACTAGTAGTAGATAGTACTCCATCTGAAAAATGTCGAGTAGCAGCGCAGCAATGGCTTGTCAGCTGGTTGGGATTTATTTTTGGGGGGTTTTATTTAGAGGCTGGGTGGGACATGGGAGGTGCTATTATGTGTTGTCGGTTCTAATGTCACACTGGTATTTGCTTTGATGCTACTGGTTTGGTTTAGTCTGCTTAAATTCTTGCCTTCACAGCTGGTGAGCTGCAAGTTTTTATTTACTTATTTTTTCTTGTTTCGACATTCCGCGCCCATAGTGACAAATGGCAGGCAGGGAGCAATTACCATCCCATTCTTATCGCTGGGGCACTTCCATCCACGCTTACCACCACTTGTTTACAACCTAGCGCTGCATCCTGTACGCTGGCCGTTTTGACCATCTTGGTATGCTCAACCTGGTAATGGATGAGTATACCGCGCTTGTCATCTACACACGACCATCTTCAAAATCATGACGGAGGAGGGTCGCTAGCTCCATCGGCCAGAGTATATCATTCAACAGCGCCATATGGGTCGATCAACTCCGCCGCCTTCCGTGTCCCCTTCAAAATGCTCCTCTGTGCATACGATACGATGCTCCAAGCCTGACTTCAGGCTTGTCTGTTTGGGCTTTAGGGTAAGACGGTGCCAAACCTTTGCAACCTAATATCAATGTCTTATCGGAACAATAAGACAAGGAAGTAGATGATCTATTGTATACTACCTAGATACCTGTGTCAATTAATTCTGGACGGATGAAGTAGGAGTACATTGTTCCCCCCAAGAAAAGTATTCCAAGGTTGTTCCCCCCAGCGGCTGAGCACAACCGTTCCTTCCAATGTAAAATCTGAACCTCCGTAACTTATCTTCCATTGAAACAAAACACTGCTACAAAGCCATTCTCTACATAACTGCGAACCAATATTAAATTCACAAAGAGCTATGCGTCACACACAAGCAGATTCCTGGTGCAAGAAAACAACACACTATATTGAGAGGTATTATCAGTATGCCCAAAATCCAACCATGTTGGTAACATGAACAGACAAAACAGTAAGGCAATACAACACACAGCAAAGCTGCATCTCCCTCCGTCTTCGTACAAAAGTCGCGTTCTCACCAAGACCTATATGAGCTGCATCAACAAGCACGCACCACTGCTCCACTTCTATGGGCTACGGGATACAATCCACCGAGAGCCAGAAGCTCGTTCGCAACCTTTATAGCCGGTACGCAAAGCGTACGGGTATTCTTATATCTGATGATAGAACTGTTCTGGCCATTTGGGGAAAGCTCGTTTGAACAAGCTCATGCACACGGTATCATGCTGCTGGACGCTGCTGTTGAATATGCATTTCATGGAACCTGGCGGCAAGAATAGAAAGGGTTCAGGCACAGAAAACCAGATCGAACTGCACCAATACATCGGCTGCGGGATTAGTCAAACATACCATGAGTGCCGACAGTCTCCTTGATCCGGCCGCGTTTGCCATGCTTCGTCCACAGCTCGACAGGCTGCAAAAAACAATGGTGTGTGTTACTAGCAGTGAAGACAAAGTGATGGGATATATCGATACAACACAGAAATACTCGCCTTGAACCATCTGACGTCTTCCGGGTGGTGGAACATGTACCGCACCATTGCTTTGAGTTTCGAGACTCTCTGGGGATACCTGCACAAGTTGTCAAATAAGACAGCGTTGATTAGATGAAACCAAAACAAGAGCCATTCAAGGGGTGAAATACTTTACGCATATCACATTAGATCAAGTGGAAGCATCAGCGGTGCATGTATTCAAAATATGACCAGGAAGAACAACTTCCAAGGCGGAATACTTTTTTTTTCTCACATAATGTGTTGGGACAAGAAAACAGTTTCAGCCAAAACCATTTGTATCTGTGCTCTCCATCTACAACATGTTATTTTGGCTTTATTTATTTTTCATTTCCCTTCTTCCTATCCTGAGTTAAGTGTATGCATCAACTGAGAACGTTTTCATATGATCAATCCTCTATGTCAATTTCATCCTGAACATCCCAAGAAAAATTCCAAGATAGGCAGATCGCAATTGTTCAGTTCAGGTTGAAACAACAAAAAATACAAGATTGCAACCCTAGACAGATTGAGCAGCCAGCATCATCTGATATATCCCCTTTTGAACATTCTAAAGAAATTGAACTTTGAAGAATTACCGAGCTAGGAACTTCGAAGAATTGCCGAGCTAGGCTAGGGCGCTGACAAGCCAGTTTCTGATCATTTTTTGGTCTACTAAAGAATATCATTCTAGATTTTTCCTCAAAGAATGTGTTTGTTTATTCTTCTATAAAGAATAATATTAGTATCTCAGTAAAATTAGTACTAATGCACCTACTTAAGGTCCGCGTAGAACCTACTGTAACAGTTGGTTTAGCTCTATTATTCTATCCTCCAACCAAACAAAATTGCAAGATATGTTCCCATTTCTCCATAGATGGATCCCCTTCTACATATAGCACTAATGGTATAGATAAGAGTAGTTTCAGAAACCAACCGCCCCATATTTTGACTTTGAAAGAAACTAGGTCCACTTAAAAGGCCTTCATCATAGGAGAAAAACTGAAAGATACATCCTGGTTCAAGCCTACGTCAGCCCTCCACCCTCTAACACAGGTGACTATGATGGGAACCAAATTTTGTATGAACACAACTACATATAATTAATTCTAAAAATACAGAAATATAACATTCAACCATCAGTCCTACAAATGAAACTGTGTGGACACAAGTACATATACTGGTAGGAAAACAATGTACAAGTTGCAGGCGTATTTGCCTAGTAAAATATGCTACCAAAGCTTACCCAGTCAAAACAATTTTTTTGAGAATAATCTGGTCAGGATCCACACTTTTCAGTGTACCTACTGCAGCAATGACAGGTTGTTGCCCATCTATGTTCTTCAAAACAATCAGAGGAACGGGTGGAAAGGAAATTGGAGCATAGACGGAGGCAATAGAAAATCGCCCATGATGTAAAAATCTCTCCATCTTATGCTTATTGCAATTGATGTTGTCAGATGAAAATAGTGGCCTAGAAAAGTGTCAAAACAATCAGTAAGATACTTCTCTGGTTATACAGTGCAACGGCATACCTATACAAAAAATGAAAAAAGAAATTCTACTCCCTCCGATCCATATTAATTGTCAGAGGGAGTATATTATTCTCAATGGTATGGCTGAACTTTCATTACCTTGCCGTAAACTGCCGGAATCCAACATTGAAAATAAGAGGTTCCTTACTTCTGATGGGAGCTTCATAGGAGTCATGCTTTTTTATGCTGCAATAAATAGCAAGTGTCAATTAAAGCTCAGTGCAGGGGCATTCTAGCATTATATATCCAGCAAACAAGTACTAGTTTTGAAACCCAAGATAATGCACATAATGTGTACAATAAGACAACAGTCAACACAAAGCTAGTGGAGGTTTACTGGCTTACTATTGTCAAGTTAGTATGAACGTCCTACACAAGACCACTTTAGTAGCCAAGGGAATCCTGAGGAATAACACAATTACTCCCGAACTTACACTAACCAAACATCAAAATTATATTGAATCTTCAATGAGTGCTTTGAATGGAACTGTGTTACAGCCTGTTCACATGTACAGCATGCTAATATTCATATAAGCACGCACTAACAGGATCCATCAATAAAAATTAATACACAACTTAGTATATGCATACTTAAAAAAAACTGGACCACATGAGTTTGTCAAGTAGATGAAAAAATGAATACCTGAAATGAAGAACTGAAATTTTTGACTCATGTTCAAGAAGACCAGAAACAACAACAGGTAATCTTCTTGATGGATGACAAAGTTTGGAGGCAACATCTGTAGGAACATTTTTCACGTGAAGCATAACATATGATCCTATTCGGGCACAATCCTTTGAGCTTTCTTCATCTAGCTCAGCCCTTTTAGCAAGCACATGTTTTTGTGTTCGTGTAAACTTATCGAATGCAAATATTCTTGCATATTCAGGTGGCAAAGATTCCTGAGGTCAACAAAATGGGGAGAAACAACCACGTCACATGAAATACATAAAGTTTATATTAAATTTGCACTAGGCAGTAATAGCAAAATCATACGCACCTTAGGATCCCAGGATGATGTCCTAAATGATTTTAGTCCTCTGTATTTTGCAAAACGTTTTCTTGCCGGGACATCTAAGGGTGTCTCCACCTCATCAGGAAATTCTGAAACATTATATAAGATATGCGTGTCATATTTAGGAATCACATAGTGTGTAGGGCTAGTAACAAACCTGGAGCTAGAAGTCAACCAAACAGGCATCAACTGGAACAATTAATAAGGCTAGAGACTTAAGTTGATTCCAGGGTGACCCCTCCAAGGAGTCATTACATTGACACAATGATTCTAACAAGAATCTTGGTCTTGGCAGTTCCAAGCCCAGGTTCTTTATCCACAATATTTTTTAATGGCCCATTTTTATCTTCAAGTAATTTCCGTAGACACAACTTTTGGGCCAATGGACACGCAAAACCATTTAACTTAGCTTCATATAATGATGACTTTGGGGGCAATGGTCAAGAAACCCAGTTCTGCCACCTAAATTAAAGACAATTGGACCCTCTTCCATCAAACATGTTAGCACACTAGCAACTGTCGTGTACAATAGTGGTGGCAGTTGGCACAGCTATCATCGTCGCGGTTTGAGGGCCACGAGTAAGCGGTGTAGGCCCATGAACAGGGTGGCACAAGGGTTCATTGGTGGTAGTAGCTTGAGGGATCACGGCAATGAAATGTAAATAGTGGCTGCGTGCGTTAACATTGCCCCAAAAGTTATGGTTATAGGCAATTTACTCTCATGTTCCTTCACATAAGAAACCCAAAGCAACCATAACTCTTCAAAATTAATTCATAACACGCCAATAATAGGGTGATAAAAGGAAATAAAATTAGCTTCCTAATTCATGCTGTCATCTGTCATACCAAAGATTAATTTCTGACAACACCAACTCTCCATATTGCAAAATAGCATAGAACATACTTTTGAAACATGTAGTGTCCTCAAAAAGATCTCAAGAATAGAGACTATAATCTGGGTTCTCCAAAACCGAGTTTTGTCAGGTTATTATGAGTTACGACCAGTCTTCACCTAATCTGACTAATTCCTTCATTTTTTTCCCTAATGGAAAACACAATACTTCATGAATTGGCAAGATCAAGAATCAGTTATGTCGTCATGAGTAA